TAAACTCGGAATCGTGAGATCATGAGATCTTTCAACTCCATAATCGCAACAATCACTGCAGATAACCAAGTAGAGAATGGGACAGCCATTGCTCACCTCTGCAGTAGTTCTGAGAGTCTGGCATGAAACCCACGCCACACTGGAGTGTATGTGTTGAGCTATGAATGACTCTTGAGTAATCATTCCTGGAGATGGGGGCTAAGCCGGGCTGAACATCTACTCTTTCCACTGGCGGGGCGGTAGTGGGCTCATCCTCGCCGTTACTGATGATTATCCGAGCGTTGTGGGGAAGGCAGAGGTAGCCACCAAAATGGTTGACGCATTTCATGCCCCCTTTGCAGGCTTCCTGCACTGTCTTACACTCATCTATATCTGTGAGGAATATAAAAAGAAACAAAAGTAGTTATCTTCAAAAAGTACATGAATTTGTACATGAATATCTGTCTATGCAGTATGATAATTCATGGTGGTTTTTTAATGGCTGATGCTGCTATTCTGATTCAGTGCAGGTACTGTATATGTATATACTGTATAAATGTGATAACACTTTGCTAATCTCAGAGGGTCAATGACTGGCCAATAAATCAGCCTGGCTGATATCCTGGTGTAGCGCTAACACTTATGCTATTAAGACAGCAATATGAGAGGAGACAAGCTGTTACCTTTACAGCTTTGTTTTTCATAGTCAAATTCATAACCTTCAGTGCACTGCAAAAACAAAACAAAAAAAAAGAGTCAAAGGGGAGAAAAAATAAATATTGGGTCAAAAAATGCAACACATACAAATCTATCTATCTATCTATCTATCTATCTATCTATCTATCTGTCTGTCTGTCTGTCTGTCTATGTATCTATGTATCCATCCATCCATCCATCCATCAATCCATCTATCTAAAGATTAGATAATTGAAAATAAGTAAAAACATGCATAAACCGAACACAACTCAAAACCGTATATGCGGCTCTGATGTGTTGTGCTCTACTTGCCGTGTATGTGACAGGCTCCTGAGCTTCGGCTTCCTGAGACACGGCGAAGTGGACGGCAACACTCAAACACAAGCAGATCCCCAACATTGTGACCTGCAGCCCAGAGAAAACAGACGCTCGCGCTTTCACAAATCATCACTGCGCCTTCACATGCATTTGCACCATTTCCACCTAAACCCCAATTACATTTCATCCGCCTTGCTAAGATCACATTGTTTGGTTTGAATAAAACCGCTGTTGACCCTGGCTCATTTCTGCAGACACTTGGCAGAGTCCAACACATTGCAGCACAAAACAACAGTGTCCAAACTGTGCCCGTTCACCCAGTTCATAAAAGCAATTAAGCCATGGCACATTTTTAAAAGTATCACATTGTCCTTGTGCAAATGACCATATCCAGCATATTTGAGACCAAGAGCAGATCTCATATCAACACTGTGGGGAATGTTCATGATGAATTCAGTCTTGTAATATTGAATTTAATGGTTTTTTAAAGCCCCCTGAGGATGAACATCTCTGTTCTGGAAGCTCATTCTGAACCTCCCAGACTGTGTCAGAAAAAAAACAGTTCAAATAAAACATGTAAATCTACAGTACAAGCTTATTACCGCAATTTCAAAAGTAGTGCAACTGAAGGCATGTACCAACTAGTACTTAGACACCATATTTATCTGACAAAGCCCTCCAGCAACCTCCAGTTGAAATTGTTGTTTTCTGTTCAACAAAACCTCCTATTCATGTAATCATGCTAGAAGCAGAAGTCTATTGTCATTCAAAAGTATGAAATATTTATGTAATATAACAAGATCATTCATTCTTTATGTATATGTAAAACAAAGTACAGTTCTACATCAAACACTAAAACTTGCAGTTCATTCTGAGTTGCACATTCAGAAAACTGTTACCATACTGTATAAAGTATGCATAAATCATTAAGAGAGCATATAATTTATAATGCAATGCCAAAACTGCATAAACAATATACCTTATCAAACAGGATTGTCCCCATTTTCCCCAAAGAGATGAATGTGTGTGAAGTGAGTGGAGGATCTTACCGTGTGATTTATTCCACTGTGGCTTGAGGAGCACTGGAGTCTCTCACACATGAGGTGCCTGCGATCATGTTCTTATAAGAGGCAAGTTTTTCTCTCAAGCCTTTTCAAATTATGTTTTTTTTTCTCTCACTGCAACATTCTTGCTGGAATATAAAGGCAGTGAATGTGGCTCCACCTACTGCTAAACATTTAGACTTACAACACATTTACAGATACAGACAGGGGGGTCTATGAAGGAAAGTCTGACTAGTAATTAAGAAGTAATTTATGAGCTGAAATAGTACGATCATTTTTATCTATCAAAAATATATAATTTAATCTATAAAATAACTGTTGATTTAATTTAATTTTTTCTTAAAGTATAAATTTGTATTAAGAATTATGTTATGATCTTAAATACTATGATCATTTATATTTATCATAAAAATCTATTAAATTAAATATAGAATTTAATATATAAAATAAAATAACACGTTTTTATTCA